CAGGCTTTCTAAGGCCCACTTGACCTCACTCTCCAGGATGTCTGGCTCTAGGTCAGCAACTATATTGTCTGGGTTGTCCGGGATATCCAAATCTTTCTGATATAATTCCTCTGTGTATTCTTGCCACCTCTTCTTTATGTCTTCTGCTTCTGTTAGGTCCCTCCCATTTTTGTCCTCTATCGTGTCCATCTTTGCACAAAATTTTCCTTTAATATCTCCAATTTTCTTGAACAGACCTCTGGTTTTTCCCTTTCTATTATTTTCCTCTATTTCTTTGCATTGTTCGTTTAAGAAGGCCCTCTTGCCTCTCTTTGCTATTCTTTGGCAGTCTGCATTCCATTTTCTGTAACTTTCCATATCCCCCTTGCATTTTGTTTCTCTTCTCTGCTATTTGTAAGGCCTTGTTGGACAGCCACTTTGCTTTCTTGCATTTCCTTTTCTTTGGGATGGTTTTTGTTGCTGCCTCCTGTACAATGTTACGAGCCTCTATCCATAGTTATTCAGGCACTCAAATCTAGTTCCTTAAATCTGTTCTTCACTTCCACTGTGTATTCATAAGGGACGTGGTTTGGATTATACCTGACTAGCCCAGTGATTTTTCCTGTTTAAGCTTGAGTTTTGCTATAAGAAGCTGATGATCAGAGCCACAATCAGCTCCAGGTTTTGTTTTATTCTGACTGTATAGATAGAGCTTCTCCATCTTTGGCTGCAGATAACATAATCAATCTGATTTCGGTATTGCCCATCTGGTGATGTCCATGTGTAGAGTCGCCTCTTGTGTTGCTGGAAAAGAGTGTTTGTGATGACCAGCTTGTTCTCTTGACAAAACTCTATTAGCCTTTGCCCTGCTTCATTTTGAACTCCAAGGCCAAACTTGACTGTTGTTCCTTTTATCTCTTGACTCCCTACTTTAGAAATAAAAAGTTTTTTTTTTAAAAAAAGACAAAAACATGGTTTGATTTAGTTTATCAGTCTGATAATGTGGACTTGTCCATGAAAGCTTACACTAATATATATATATATCAAGTTGGGAAGGAAGAGTTCCTTTTATCTCTTGACTCCCTATTTAGAAATAAAAAGTTTTTTTTTAAAAAAGACAAAAACATGGTTTGGTTTAGTTTATCAGTCTGATAATGTAGACTTGTCCATGAAAGCTTACACTAATATATATATATATCAAGTTGGGAAGGAAGAGGCTTTCTAACCGAAGACTGATGTCAACAGGCTGGTCAGAATGTCAGTTTCTTTTTGTAGTAAAATATACACAGTGAAGATCTTACTTACAAAACATGTACCACTGGGGCTCATGCTCAACCATTGTTAACCTATAACATTAGCAGCAATAAACAAAAGCCAGGTTATCCTGTAGATTTAGATCCTATATATAATAATAATATCTTAGAACTGCAGAGCTAGAAGGGACCCAGGGGATCATTGAATCCAGCCCCTGCCAATGAGGCTTAGTGGGGAATTGCACTCCCAACCTTTGGCTATGCAGCCAGATATTTAAACCACTGAATTGCCCATATACTGGAATCGCTAGCAGACCACACTTCCCCCTTTGGAAGAAGAAAAAAAATCACATCCACCTTCTGATAAAAAAAGACAATATTTATTAGATAAATACATTGAGATAGGAAAGATAATTTCTACCTGGGCTGCCTCCTCTGTCATCTCAGAGAAAGTTAAGAGAAGGAGGTGGGGAGGATGGAAGTGATATCAACAACCCCATATCAGTTAGGTTGAAGAAAGTTCAGCACAGATCAGCGCAGGTAGAGGACAGTCAAGGAAACATAAGGTGATACTTCTGTCTCTGGACATCTCTTCCTCATGGAAAGAACTTTCATTTTCTGTAATATAAGCTAAATTACAGTTTGTCATCTCCAGCAAAGAATTGTTCTTACTGAGGTGGTAAATCTGTTTCAGGACATAATACCTCCACTTTTCAGTAATAAGCTCAGATTCAAGGTTGCTTTGCAGTAAAAACAGAAACTGTAATAGAATAAGGAGTATTTAAAATATCATCATCAGAATCGTTCCAGCAGGAATAGATTAAAAACATTGGCACAAAGACTCAACTGGAAAATGCCCATGGGAATAGAGTTGTCTTAGGTTGAAGATTGTGTATATTTATGTGAAAATATGTACCAAAAACACAGTAACATTTCACTTTTAAGGGTTGTGCTATTAGGAAGAAAGGAGAATTTTGGTGGATCTCTCCTGGGAAGTTGCTCTACAGTTTTTAAATACTGAAACTTCTGGGGTGTCCTTGTCCCTGATAGCTGTTCATTTGTTGGCAACAGGGACAATAAGTGCTCAGAAACAGAGTGTCGATCATGAATAAGGTCATTTTAAATTGGACACAATGAGTGAATATTTCTCCATTCAATTAAAATAAGACAAAAGAAAAACGAGAGATAGAGCTGCGTGTCACCTGCATATTGATGACAACAAAATCCATATTACTTCTCCCGGTGACTTCTTAAACAGGCATAGGACTACAATATCAGTCAACTACCTATCATGCTGGATCATTAGACAAACATGCACATGATACAATTGGCAAGCAGCTAGAAATGTTGGCCTGTCTCAACAGGCAGGCATGATTAGTAGTTTTCTGTGTTACTTTTTCCTGCCCAAAGTTCAGTGTGATAAACACCAATCCAGTCATCTCCCAGATAAATTTTATACACCTCTTTAGGGAGTCTGTCTCTTTCATCTTGCAATGAAGTAGACTTATACAGT